GTTAAAAATGTCGTCCTTTTAATAATGGTTGCATTTGGAACAACGCAAAATTTGAAAATTAAAACTCCAGATACTTTCTCATACAACAAGGGTTTTTACTTCTTTTTTTATATTCGTTTCACATATATGCACTGTTCTACTCATAGGATAAATATAGAATGCAAAGATTGAATATTCAAAGCATTAGGAATTAATTGGTAGATTTTTCCCAATTGAAACTGCCGTAATATCTTTTTTACGCGAAAAATTTCCATCTCGCTGTCAGGATTAAAGGAAGTATTACCATATATCCACACAAGAATAGAATTTTGAAATTAAAAGTAAGTTTTTCTATGTGGTGCAAAAAGTAGAAAAAGTAGAAAATAATAAACTTAGCTGGGTACTCTTTTGAAGTTCACTCTTCATTCACACTTATTCGTATTCAACTTGCTACATTTATGACTTCCGCTAAAAGTTTCAGTCTAAAGGATGAATAATGCATTTCGTATTCTCTGAACGGCAATACATACTGTATTTTATTTTCCAAAACAATACTTTGCTGAAGAAACAAGTACATCGGGATAAAGATGCGCTTTGCAAAGAGATACATCAAAGAGCAAAAGAGATCTTTCTCATGAAAAGACGGATATCATATTTGAAAAAGAATTGAGAGAAAGAGAGAGAGAGAGAGAGAGAGAGAGAGAGAGAGAGAGAGCGCAAAAATAAAAAGGTATGCTTAATGGCCCATTAGGAAAGCCATAAAAAAGATTAAAGTTAAAGTGCCATTATGCAAAATTGTATTGCTCTCTGACTTTCTGTTCTCCATCACACGTGTATCTGTGCGCATCTCGCGCGCATCAGCGACATGCACATGCAAATGTAACGTAGCAAACTTTGCGTTTGCGTATCGTTGGTAATATGCGGCGAAAAGTACCTGAAGGTAATTTAAATTAGGAAGATATTCCGCTGACTATAACACAGCTGCCGTGTCGTTTGTTTTTCGTAAATTATGCCCCTAAATTATTCCAGAGATCGTACTTCTCTGCGCTTCGAAAACCGTGAATATCGCGGTAGCAAATATACACACAGGGTGACTAAATAAGATGCAACTAATATTTAAGTAACGTACAATGCATTTCTTATCGATAACGTGGTTTCTCACGCGCGAGAGGATATTTCTTGAAATTATATATGAAGAATGACATTTAATACAGCAAAATATTTTTATTTCTAAATAATACTTGATAATGTTGTCATTTAACAATAACGTATATTAATTTAAAACATTAATTTTCCACAGTGGCTATATTCATATAATAAATAAATGATGTTTGAATCAATCAAGAGTAAAAAAATGTAAACACTTTCGAATCAATTTCACCAGCATCTCAAAATAATATTTTTATTACTGAGAAAAATTTTTTATTAAAAATAAACTAGTAGATTCTGATCGTGTCAAACAGAATTCTGGTCATCACGATTGGATGGACATCTGATTATCTCACCCGGAATTCTGATTGACATAATTAAAATCTACTTGATTTGTTCATTTTCAACCAGCAATTTTTTTCAATAAGAGCTGTACAAAAAGAGCTGTGTCATAAATAGTCATGTAAATTTTTGTTATGTTTAAATAATTTTTACACACAGATCGAATTGTATATGATTTTAGCCACCCTATATTGCAGCTGGGCTGCAAACGAGGGCGTTGTTTACGGCCAATGTGGAAGCGTAATTGAGTGCGCTTAATAAATAAACAAGCTCGTGCTCGAATACGCATCCACGGGATGCATAGGGAGGTGAGCTGTAAAAAATGAATTCATTTTTCAGGGAATGTTGGCCGGCTCGGGAAATGTACTGTCGCGACATTCCACTCGAATCGCGAAAGTACGCGTGAAAAAGCTGCAATAATCGGCATTGCATTTAATTGTTTTTTTTTTCTAATCGGCACAGAAAGAAATTATTATTTGCGATAGACACGGAATTAGAGACAGAACGAAGCATCATATTATATTTTTCTAAGTATTTTATAATCTAAAAAGGAACAATAGAAAGTTTAATGAAGAACCGTGAAGGTACAACTCGGTACGATTGCAAAAAAATCAAAGGAGGAAACTTGGGACAATGGAGGAACTGAATCCGTTCGCGTCCCTCCCTCAAGAAACGAATCTTGATTAATAGCGCAAGTTTGCGTCACCATGTCCCGCGTCGGCCATGTTCGGAATGCATAATGGGTGGAATACATTAAAATTCAACCTCGCGGGCGAACCCAAGAGAAGGATCTTTCTCTCTCTTCCTCTGTCTCTCTCTCTCTCTTCCTCTCTCTTTCTCTTCCTCTCTCTTTCTCTTCCTCCCTCCCTCCTTCTCTCTCTCTCTCTCTCTCTCTCTCTCTCTTCTTTTCTCTTCGTAACAGCGTCATTCTAAATGTGGAAAACATCGTTCTTCTCGCAATTAGTGCGGCGTCTTTGATCGATGATGGCAATTAGGTCGGTCCACGTCGAATGCACACGAGAAGTGCATCGGCTGCACACACCGATCATTAGGGAAACCCAAGAAAAATCTTCATGGTAAACCGTAAACGGTACGCGAATACAAACATCAGTCACGATCTTTTGTTAATGGCCGATTTTTTAAATAAAGCCATTTGCTGCCAGATCTTTTTTCAGTCACTGAAATATTCAGTATCTTCGTCCTTATACTATCACATTAATTGAAAATGAAGGATAATTCTTAAATTCTCTATCTTCCTTCATATCCTATCCAATAGAAAAAAACTACAGTAGAATTCATCTTGCATTGAATGTAATTTTGAATTATATAATACATATATCTATTCTTAACCTTTTCTTAAGCAATAATAATATAATTAAATAATGTAAATATTTTACACTAATATAGATAACAAGATATTAGTGTATGAAATATAAATATTAATCGATTAAAAATGTAATGTCGATTACAAAGGAAATATTCATTTTGTTTGAAGTATTAATTATTCATATCTTTGATATCTTTAATAATAATAAAAATTATGATTCTGACAGCTTTATATTCTCAGTACCTAGAAACCACTTTATTCTTTTAAAACACGATAAAACCTTTTCTGCATATTCAGTCGATTTAGTTTACTGCAAGGAAGGAATTTTTTACAAACGTAAAAAGTGGTCTCGCGTGTAGTTAACCATCACTCTTTATATTTTCATATATGTTTCGTCGAGAATGAGTATATTACGTAAAACACAAGCGCCTCGCCAGTGGAAAAGTGTCTAAAAATAATTACTATCTAAAAATATCATAATACATACATACGCGCTTGAAAATAGCAAATAGCAATGGAAATAAAAGTTAATATTAACTCTGAATGATATAGTTTTTTATTTATGAATTTTTGTTTTCGCTTTGATGACGAGACAAATTCGTATGACACCGTGTATTAGCACGTTTAATACCGTCTGCAATTTCTAGTTGAAACACGAGCTACGCAGCAATTTTAGCACAAATTGCCGCGTTTTAATGGTTCCCAGTTGATCCTTTAAACACTTTCGTGCTATATAGCATTAAGTAGCTTAATAATTAACTCTTGTATAGAACTTGCTTTGCAGGCAAATTCATCGTGAATTAATTGAAAAATAATATCCTTGTGTACTTGCATCGTTTGTCTGTGTCGTTCGAATATTTAATGTATCCATTATGAAACAATTCGCTCATTAACGTATTAAATCCATTAGGCAAAGCAGCTGCGTAATAGAATTAATCTTTAACTAATAGAATTAATCTTTATTTTTATTAACATTTGGCACACTTTGCAATAATTTTATTTATCTGAGACAATATTTTTTACAATAAATTCGTAGAATTTTAAATTAACATAAGATTATTAATAATTTTGTAAAGATGCTTATTAGTAAATTACTTTTGAATTTAATAAGTGATATTACTGGTTCTGCTTATAACACAGTTCAAGATCGAAAAAGATTTTGACGTGCATGATTTGTAAAATCAGATATGTATATAGATTCACAGAAATGTTTGAGCACCAAGATTCGCTTTGACCAAATATAGGATTTCTCTTATTTAATTAGTTTTATTTATTTTATTTTTCTAGGAACTGTAAGTATTGACTAACTAAGAGAATAATAAAAAGATTTTAATCAGTACTAACAGTTCGCTTACGTCAATTTGCGTTGAGAAACCTCAAGGTGAGTAATCTAAAAACCGGATCGACAGGACGATTGTCACGGCCGCGCATTAATGATTTTCGTCTATTTTACATAAGAATATACTTTGTACGATATCGCGAATATCATCTCGACCTCGCCTTGACCTGATTTCTGCATCTCGAGGCGATCTCATGTCAACCAGTTACTCGTTCGTTTACTCTAGTTACTCAAATTAACTTTTCGCACTTTGTTAAGTGAAACTACATCGTTCAAATCCAGCCCCGCGACCAGAAATATTTATTCGCGCATTAACGGGCTATACCCGATGGGAGAAGTTGCGCAAATTGCGATATCGGCGCGTTTTGCACCCCTCGAATAATCAGCAATGTATATCTCTGCGATAATCATAATATAATAATGTAAATTAAATCTCTCCATGTAATATTACGTGGCAATAGAATTTCAAAATCGGATAATCTTCGCGCGTTCAATTTTCGATATCGCCGGTGAAGGGAAAATGTATGTACAAGTCAGTTTTTCGATCTTCATCGCTGCGAATGAATATGTATGGAGACTATTTTTGTACGGTGACACCGAAATCTCGATTCACCGAAACTATATAAATCCCAATCCCTTTTGAATTTCATCTCCTTTCTCTCCATTAATTTTTTCTGAATTTATTCCTTTTGTATGTGTCCGTTATCCTCTCGATCGAAATCATTAAGGGAACGTGAGATGGGCCTCTTATCGAAACGGCCTCCGCGATAATTCGCCACGAAGGCCGTAGAACCGAGCACTCTGTGCTCTCGATAATACCCTTCGGCACACACACACGTGGTGGATTTCATAGTGGCGACTTACCTTGTAACTGCCGACCGCGTGCGCACCATCGTAGATGTAGAGATGGTCGTTGCAGTCTAACTGCAGCTGATCGAATCGGAGCATAAACCGCTGGAGGATGCTGTGAGTCTGGAAAGTAATGGCGCAATCGAGATCCCTCTCATTTTGTGAGGTAAGAACGGCGCCGTCTATCTTCCTGTAGAGATCCCGCAGGAAGTATTTCTTGCAGATGTCGCTCATCTGGTCTGTAAGAAAACGGAAACAGATGGAAGAGAGTTAATCGATCTAATTTATTCGCAATACTAGAAAAAATTCGATACATTATATACATAAATATCTTTACGATCAATGTTCTCCACATTATTGTCATACATCAAATCATGTAAACGTGAACACGAAATATAATGTATTGTAGAAAGTTCAGCATAAATTTTTAATATATGCAAGACTTTTTAGGGCCTGCATGGAAAGAACGGTTATAGTATCTAAAAATTTGGCTAGATACAGATCTGAAAATAATTCTGTTGAAATGTCAAAATAATTGAGTTAGACATTTAAGCACGATTAGCAATATTCATGCAAAATATTGACACTCGTTTTATGTCATTCTACATAATTGTATTGATGATCTAACAGAATTATTTTTAGATCTATATTTAATTAAATTTATAGATCCTTCAGCAAAAATGATTTTTCCATGTATACAGATTGTTAAATTAATAATGTCAAATTATACTCAATTTGAGTTATTTTTAATCATTTCTATAGGTCACTGCTCCTACTCGATATGTTATTAATTTATCTAAAATAATGAAATTATAAATAATCTAACTCAAGAAATGTATTAACTTAATTTATTTTATTATTTACCGTTTATTTGCGTACATTTAGCTGTTTACTTTGCGATTTAATCACAAAAATGGATCGATTTACATTTTGACATCTATAAAAGTTAAAGATAACGAAATTATTTACCTCAAAGATTTAGGTTCCCTATTATTCTCTTGATTATAGTATTATCTAACAGTATACATGATTTCCGAAATATTGTATATCATAATCGTAATTTTTTGTAGAAATAGAAATAGTTTTGCATTTATTATTATTTCTGTTTCTATTAAGTAAGTTTGAACTGCTTGAAAATAAAATGTAGAAAAATAATAACATTAAATTAACACAATTTGGTGTTTTCAAAAATTAAAAAAAACAATATGAAAGTTAACGTTTTGGTGGGCTGCAATTTCGCGCTTTAATCTCGATGGAATGAAACAAACATGCAATCGCACTTTTGCTCCATTACGCTCGCTTTAAAAACCGCGCTTACGAAGATGAAAATCATGTTTTTCTAGGTCAGTGCTCAAAAATTCCACTTTTGCATGCGGATGACACGCCTCGTACAAATAGCTCACAATGCTAGCGCGATTTCAGCTGGCAGAGTTGCGGATTTGCATTTAAAACGAATGATAACGAATGCACGACAGTCGGCAGTCAACGCAGTCGCGAAATAAGTTACAGACGCACTTTGTCCCAGGCTAAGACGATATTGCGATCGCTGCAGTTTCCCGACATTATGCCGTAACATATTTCGGGACAGGCAACAGAGGTTGCAGGTTCTGGAACTTTGCGCTCGCGTCTTCGTCTCGCAGTCTTCCGCTTTCCCCTTGTTTCCCCAACCCATTACCATCCCTTTGCAGCTGGGCTCTGTGCAACATTGAAATTACTTACTCCCAAGACCCGCGGTCCCGTGACGCATGCGTTTACTCGCACCCGGCTAAAATGCAGCTTGCAAAACGGTCGTTGCGTCAGCCCGCCGCATTTTCGGTCGTGTAGAGAGAATGTGAATGTGCGGCAAATAAACAACCGCGGGAAATTCAGCATTGCAACGCGCGTGATCAATTGCAATACATAATAATAATTTACCAGCCATCCCATCGGCAAGATGCGACTACGAGATAAACGAAAAGCGATGAATGCTATCGAGCACCGTGTTAATATGGCCGCGATTGTGTTATTAATAATTAATCATAGGTGTACGTAAGGAAGGCAGGAAATTCTCTAAATTTTGACAAGAAGAAACAATTAAATTATAAAAATCATTTTACGACAAAAAATTTAATGCTAATTGGCCAATGCGCGGATCACATTTTTATTCGTACACGAAAAGAACAGTTTTACTAAAGTATCTAAAAATGTAACTAATATTAATAATGCTAACTGTTGACTAGATACAGATATAAAAATAATTTTGTTTGCACCATTAAAATAATTATGTAGATCGCGTAAACTGAATGCTAGAATGTTAAAATTTTTTGCAGTATTATCATCAATGTTTAAGCGTTTGCATAATTATTTCATTGAATAGTCCAACAAAATTATTTTCAGATCTATAGGTTAGCTTTTTAGATACTTCAGCAAAACCTTTCTTTCTAAAAAAGATCGCTAAAAATCCTCCAAGACAACTGAGACTTTAACATAGATAATACTTTAGTAAAATTAAATACATGGTTTTGCGGTTTCATGAATAAATCAAATATAACTAAATAAGTCCGTAAGAACCTCCGCGATTGTTAAAGCGCAAATAACATATTTATAAGGTGATAAGATAAAATTTGCAAACAATTGGAATGTATTTATATCAATATTTATATCAATGAAGTTAACTTTGCAAACGTTTCAACTCTGGATTTGAGTCTTCTTTAATACAGAAGTGAAGAGGACTCAAATCCAAAGTTGTAAAGTCGATAAATACATTCGTATCGAATTATATTTTATAAAAATATTATTTATGCACTAATAATCGCAGAGGCTCTTCTAGGTGGTTTACTTATATTTCATATAAATTTTTGCTGTCTCTCAAAATTCTGAATACTCCTACGAATGCTATTATTCGGTCATTACGAGTTCAGTTATTAGGAATTGTGAACATATACATATAAATTGCTTTAGACTATTTGAAAAATTTATCTTAAGAGTATGTGTTAACGCATCTCTCGAGATTTCGCCAAGTTGAGTCCTCATTTTTTACGACACATTTGCGACGGCGTAATATTGTATATTATACATAACATGGCTTATACTATATAAATGTATTGTATAAATGTGTTTTACTGAGCTGCTACTTGGTGTAATAACAACTCCGTCAAGCAGTTAAGTTTTATGGCTATTGGTATGAAATTTTACGAGTCTTCCTCACGCCTTCGCGCCGCCACCCGTTTGTCGAACACGTACATTGCGTTGCACATCTGAGCAAGGCGGGTGAACAGGAAAAACGTGACTCGATGTTAAGTAATGTATTATGGCACGCGCAGGTGGCATTCCGAATCGACGATATAGAGGCCACCGTCGATATGCCTCTTGAGCCTGTATCCCCGATCACACATGAATCGAGAACCGATGTGCAATACTTCTTCCGTATCGACAAACATCGCTATTTTTGTAACTACGCGATGAATTGAAGATTCGTCCGATAATTGCAACATGCATATTCCATTCTGCTGAGTCGAGCATTTCGAGGGGGCACAAAAGCGCCATTACCTTAATATTGGAGTAAGCTGAAACTTTCTGTCGTCTAGATATATTTGAACGTTTGAAACTCGGAAGATTCACAAAAGGCCTTTTGTGCAATAGAGCAAAACTGACGTCTTAAAGAGACAAAATTCGATATCCGGGGGAGGGGGCTTAGAGATCAGAAAAACAAGTACGAAAGACACAAATCTTCGTCGAGTTCAGGATCAGTTTTAGAGAACATAAATTTTGTAGGAACAGTGAGAATATCCGAGGAAGAACTATTTTCTCAGACAACCATGATTTAGCGAATTTAGTGAATAAGTAACTTTATATTGTAGCAAGAAGTTCCAACTCTCAAACTTCTCTTATACGAAAGATGATTCACTATAGACGAAATATCTATAAATTGTTCCTTGAAGATTTTCGACAAGATTTCAATGTCTCTAAAGATGAAAATAACATAGATGGAATTTTCTTAAGCTTATTAGAATTAGCATTTTATGAAAAGAGAGAGAATTAAATATAAATATTATATTCAGGACAATTAATAGATTATATTCTTTGAGATTTTTCTTATCTTTTTAATATTTTCTTAAAATTTTTAATTTCAAAGTATATATCCTTGAGATATACGTTCAATCGGATTTGTATTGAAACATTCTATTCTCGGTGGATCCATGGAAAACACTCATATTAGAACGCTTGACCAACGCTCGGTCAGCTCTAAAGCGATTACGTTCCTCAATAGGAAGCGTCTATTCAGATGGGCAACGATCAAGAACGCGCGTCCTGCTGCACTTAATCATTTACAGTTTCTCGTCGAAGAACCGATTCACCGACTCGTGTAGCCGTTTAAATGCTCGAGAGCTTAATGCACATTCTGATCAGTAAACGGAGCGAGTCGAATTATTCGACCGATTGGTAACCGATTGATTCGCACTGTCGAGATAATGGCTCGATTCGATCTCAATGCAGCCACGATTAACTTTAGTCTATTATGCTCGATGAGGTAAGAATTTTGCCAAATTGTCTACATTTAGATATTAGACTACAATTCTAGAATGCGGTCTCAACTCCGCAATTCGCGATGTTTTATATAAGAAATTTTATATTATTAGCTGATTATTAGCGTCAAAGAATTAAGGATGATTATGTTAATTAACAATTTTCTATATTGTATTTAAGAGTAGGTAATACACAAAAAGCTCGGCGAGAATTTAGAATCTGAATGAAAAAATCGTTTATTCAATAAAAAGTAGATATATTTTTTTTTAATCTAATTCCGTAATTTGCAATATTTTATATGCGCTGATTTATTGGTGTCAAAGAATTAAAGATTATACGGTTTTTTTTAACAAAATATAGGTATGAAAAATTACTCATTTTCTTTACTATATTTGAAAGTATGATAAAAAGTGGATTCAGAATCTAGATCAAAAATCATTTATAATTTCAATAAAAAGTAACTATATTTTAAAAATCTAATTAAGATAAAATAAAAAATTTTTTTACAGTATAAAATTATATTATGAAATATTAAATATTGATCGTATTTTGGATCGTATATTGATCGTTTATAATTGGAACAGTATAATATTTATTTTGATATGGAAATTATAAATTTCCAATTCTAATCATTTTTTACAGAGAATATACACGTGTAATACATCCATAATTAGTCATTTCAATTGAATTGTTTTACATTTTGAATTTCTTAGGATCATAAAATCGCGATTTT